TTAGTTGCTTTAAGTTGTGTACTTTTAATCAACTCATCTAATGTTTCATTGCCACTAGTCCATCCTTCAGTTAATAGCCTTGGATCACATGATTGACACCATGCATCATTAGTATTATATCTATAGCATGTTGGGCATTCTCCATATTTTTCATTTCTTTTCATTGAATATTCATCATTTTGAGGACTTCCATCTTCCATATAATGCATTACAGAGATATATTCTTTTGTATTTGGATCTTGCGTTAACCCATAAATATAAATTTTATCATAAAACTTTGTATAATTTTCAAGCTAAAATAACAAAATATTTAATCATAATTAAAAAATTCTGAAAATAATAAAAAAATAAAAAATTTACCTCATTATGAAATTCATTAGCAATATTTTGTGAATTATGTAATTTTTTTAATGTCACAGGTATATCCTTGCTAATTCTTTTATAATCATCATTTATACTTCTCTCACCATTTAACCAAGTAGCTTTGGATGTAATTGCAAACTCCCCTTCATCTATCTTTTCAATATTTGTTAAATCATCATAAGGAATCCATTGAAGATGATTACTATAATGATACTCAGTTGCTTTAAGTTGTGTACTTTTAATCAACTCATCTAATGTTTTGTTGCCACTAGTCCATCCTTCAGTTAATAATTTTGGATTGCATGATTGACACCATGAATAATCAGTATTATATCTTTTGCATGTTGGACATTCCCCATATACTTCATATCTTTCTTTTGAATATTCATCATATTCATCAGTAGAAGTATCGTCATTACGCTTATATTTATTATGCTTATATTTATTTAAGGTGTTTCCCATTGTGGTTTTTGTATATTTGTAAAAAAAAATTTTTTTTTAAAGAACTTTTTTTTTTTTCAGCCACAAATATGTATCACAAAAAATATATTAATTAATATTAAATACCATATATTTAGATTTATCTAAAAAAAAATTAAATTTTACCTGAACTACAACAATTCAGCATTGACACCTAAAGTTGTAAAACTGTAATAAATATTGCAAGCATGTGATCAGAGTTATTGGAGTCACCAAATCTGGCAAACTAAATTAAAATCTCTACATACAACTAAATGCTTGATTAAAGTTTCTATTTGAATAATTCGAATAGTTTGAATAAAATGAATAAACAAGTAGTTCGAATAAATGAATGACAACAATTTGAATAATAAAACAAATAAACTAAATAAAATGAATAATTCAAGCAAAATGAACGATACAATTCGAATGATAAATGAATGATGTCAGTTCAAATAATAATAATAAACAAATGATGTCAATTTGAATAATAATAATAAACGAATGATGTCAATTTGAATAATAACAATAAACGAATGATGTCAATTCGAATAATAACAATAAACAAATGATAACAATTCAAACAAACAAATGATTTGAATAATTTGAATAAATAAATGATTTGAATAATTCAAACAAACAAACGATTTGAATAATTCAAACAAAAATTTGTATTACAAATAGAAACTCTGCTCTATTGCAGAGTCATCAAATCTAGCACAACTACAATACTTGAGGCATCCCTACAAGCAATATAGTAAAACCAATAAAAAGGGGTCCTAACTAATAATTAAATGTTGGCCAAACTATTAATCATAAGAAAGGGTTATGAATCAATTAATGAAAGTGTCATTATTGAAAAATCAATTGTTTTTAAATTTTTTTCACTAAAAGAGGTTTCAAGCGTATTTATACTTCTTGAAGTATTACAAATAACATGACTTTTTACATGATTTTGTCAAATAAAATAAATAAAATAGAATGATAAATGATGACTAATTGACAATTACTAAAGTTAAATGTTAAAAATGAGTCATTGATGATGTCATGATTAAATGATACCTGATGAAATGTTTTAACAAGATTAAAATTTCGGATGCAAAGTGAGCACGTGTTAATCAAAACGAAAAAATTTTTTTAATCAATTAATTCATTTGTTAATATTAATTAATAATAATTTTTAGACTGTTTTACTAAAAGATTTAATCTTCTGTATTTAGTCACAACATCTTTATTCACTTTCAGGCAAATGAAAGGATATCCAACTGGTCCCAAGAAGGAGCCCTGCTCATTGCCACTTATTTCATCTATCGTTAGAGTCACATGTGGCAATGTCATGACTTGGGTCTTGGCAAATGCATTCTGGTCATGACACGTTAAATTAAAATATTTTTTTTTTAAATAATAAATGAATGAATTCCAAATTGTTTTTCTTGCTAATACTAAATCAATAATGGATTAATTTCTTGCTGGTATTTTTTAGTAGTAGGAGAGGATTTTTTTCAAAAAAAGCTTAATTAATTCTCTTTAACAACACATTTTTGGAAAAGGCTTGATTTTAACCAAGTGATTTCTTTTACTTATAAAAATACAACCTCTGAACGTTTTAAAAAAAAATTGGGAGTGATCATGATCAAAAGATTTATACAACGCAATCAATTTTGTGAAACGAAAATTTTCCTTTTCTTTCGAAAATTTCCAGAGAGATAGTATCGTTGCCAATTCTTTCTAAATATTACTAAAATATTGCCAATCTTTTCTAAATTGTTACAAAATATGTTGCACTGATTTGATTAGTTGTATTCTTTCGTTAAAGCTAAAAATTAATGTTTCATCATTATTAGCTATTTCTATATCCTCAAGGTAGTATGTCTTCTGGTAAATCTTTCTTAGTTCTGTTAACAATTAATTGGTTAATACTTTAAATTTTATTTTTTTATTTTGTCATTATTTTCCTCTTGATAATTTCGGAGATGATGGCGAAACATAGATAAAGATATATTAATATCTAAAAATGAAGAATATATATACATTTGCTGATGTATATTATCCTTGTAAGACCACAGGTAGTTCAAGAAATAAATAAATTACTAGCCAACTCGAGAAGTATATATGAATCAAAAAAAAGTATATCTTTTCGGCGTATGTAAAAATCAGGCCATAATTTCCTCGTCATTCAAAAGATTATCCACCCCATTTTACATATGACCTTTTTTATTTTATCCATCGTAAAATATTAATATTAGGAAATTGTTCGATACCACAAAATTCAGAACTGCACTCTTTTTTTTTCTCATATATTTAATCATTTTAATAGTAGTAATAAAGAAAGATGGTTTTTAAGTATGGTTATGTAATTGGTAAATATTTTAATAAATTAATAAATTAAATTTATTAAAAATTAATTGTAAAAAATGATTAACAAAAAAAATGTTTTTAGGAGAACAAGTGGGTAATTTGGCAGTAACAACAGGTAGAATAATTACACCAACCCATTTACCAGAGACAATTACTTTATCAGTTACAAATTCTTCCAGATTTCTAATTCTTGGCACAAAACCAGGTAAATTTAAATACTAAAAAAAGGGGGAAGAGATAATAATTGATTAATGTATTGATTGATTTGATTTTAATTTATTTAATCTAATAATAATAATTGACGAAATTATTATAATAACTTTTTTATTTAGAAATCCTTGAATGGTTAAAAGACAATTCATCAATAAAAGTTGATGTTGTATTATACGATGATGCTAAAGAAGCACCACATATTCACATACCAGATTTGATAATTGATTTATTACCATACATTGACACCAAGGGTCACGAGCAGCATAATAATAATCTATTTAATTTTATTCTACCAACACATCACCCAGATTTAAATTCTGATCCAGTTAGATTAGAAATTCGAGCAGCAGTCAATCTCGATGAAACTCAACCTTATTTCAGAATTGTATTACAAAGAAATTGTACACTTGGTGATATATTAAAAGAAGCAAAGGAGAAATGGGACAATACCATATTACCTAGTTTATGGGATAATGTTAAAAAAGTTGCAATGTCGCCATTTGATTATGTTAAAGAAGAAGAAGAAGAGGATTTGAAAAAAAAGCAGCAGGATGATGATGATTACAATTATAATAATAACGAAAGTAGTAATAATAATCAAACTAATAATAATATTTATACAATTACTATTGAAAAAACATCTAATATCTAATATCTAATATATTTTTATTTTATTTTCAAATTGTATGTTTAATTATTTATAAATTATTAATAATATTATTTTTTTTTTGCAAAATTTCAAATTATAGTATTGTAATAATAAATTAAAAGAAAAAAATTTGAAATAATATTTTACATTAAATCATCCTTACCAAAAAATTTTCATTTTTTGCTAATATTCATACTATTGACCATCTCTTCAAGGCATGACGATAAGAGGTCTTGAATTATAGGATCACATGGTCTCAAGCCTAATGCCTAAAAAACACTTTTATTTAATTTTATATTTTATTATATTTTAAAAAGTATATATAAAACATTAAATACCTCGTGATAATAATTTATTGCATCATCATATTGTTCCTTTACATGATAAATATACCCGATAGCTGTTAGTGCGCTAGGATTTGGTGGTGATAGGTATGTTACTTTTCTAAAATACGATTCAGCAACATCTAGTTCACTTAAAATAAAATAAATAATAAATTTATATTATTATTATAAATATAAAATATATTTTATATATATATATTATTATCTCACCCTAATTTTCTATAAACATGACCCATGTTCATCCAAGTAGTCTCCCAGACTCTTTGACGACATTTCGTAAATTCTGCTGATATAAGTGCTGCTTTGAAACAATAAATAGCTGAGGGATAACTATTTATAAATATAAATATATATATAATATTTATTATTATACATTATCATTTTTTTTTGTTATTTTTGTTAATATAAACGTAAATAAAGATAACTTTCACACACCTGGATTTCTGATAATATAAAACACCCAACTCATTTAATAACAATGGATCATTTGAACATATATTATAGCTTTGCATTAAATATTCTTCAGCTGTTTTAAGATTATTTGCCAAAAGATGTTGCATTCCAATAAAAAGGTTTGGAAAATGTGATCTATTTCAGAAACCGCAAAGTATTTATTTAATAATGGGTTTTTTCCTTTCTAATTATCTATCTCCTTGTAATAATAATAATAATAGTAATAATTTACCCTTTAAATAATTTTGCTGCAGTATTGTAAGCTGTGATGGCTTGATCATGCTCTCCCTCGATAGCAAAAGAATGTCCAAATCCAATCCATGCAGGTTCATATCGCGAGTCCATAGTTGATGCCTTGCTATAACAAAAAAAAATTTTTAATTATAATAATAAGTTATATATACACACACGCATATATACATATTTAATCTAATTTTGAAATAGGAGAGTGTACCTACATAAAATATCTTCTGGCTTCATCATTTTGACCAATTAAATAATTATAACAACCAACTCCAAACCAAGTTACAGGCATATCTGAACAATGTTCAACAAGTTCATGTGCCAACATAAATAATTTGTTTTTATTGCGTAGTTCATGAAGACATACAATATGAATTGGAAGGCATGCTGGATTATGCTGATCTTTTTCAAGTATTCTTTTAAAAGATAAAGGAAATAATACATTAGTCAATAGATTAAAAAAGAAAAAAACAAAAAATAATGATGATTTAACATACTTTGAGGTGATTTTGTAGCACTCTTCAAATTTACATTGGGTGTATAATTCATCTGCATAAGTTAATAATAAATCAGTATTGTTTGACAATTTAAAATTCTTCTCTAATTCATTACGTGATTCTTGTATTAGTTGCAGATTATCATACTATCAATTTATTATTATTAACAACAACAAAGAATATAATTAATAATAATAAAATAAATTTGGTAAAAAAAAAAAAAGTTTTATAAATACTTTTTTCAACATTGAAATATAATTTAATTTTATAAAATGTGCCTCTTCGACATCTAATTGTTCCTCAAATTTCAGTGATTTAATGAACTCCCATTCTAAAATAGATATAGATTAAACAAATTAAAATAAAGTTTTTTTTAATAATAATAATAATAATAATAATAATAATTCCACTTTTAAACACACCTTCTGCACTTGTCATCATATTATTCGAGATCAGTTCATGAAAAGCCTATTAGTAATAGTAGTAGTAATAATAATAATAATAATAATAATAAAATGTCTAATTATGGACAATTAAATATAAATTGATAATTATATAGCAATAACAACAATAATAATGACCTCATAACATTTAACATCAATTTCCAATGCTTCCTTAAAGCAATTCTTTGCTTTAGCAAAATTTGATTGCTGTGAATATGCTATCCCGCGAAGATAACACATGGATGCTTCAAGCTGAAAAAATAATAATTAATATGTATTATATACGTATTATATATATAAAGGATTTGTATTTACTTGTATTCCTTCTTCTGCATTTTTCACATTTAAATTGCCATCTAAAAATAAATTTGTAAAATTATTATAAATGTTATATAGTAAATCATTTTTAAACAAAAATATTTACCTCTTGAATCGAATGGATTTTCCTCTCCAAGAATATCTAACACTTCTTGATAATTTTCTATCTTTACCTATTAATTTAATATTAAATATTAAATTATTGGATAATTAGAAAATAGCAAATTCGTTATCTTTATAATAAATAAACATTTTATATTTATGACATTTTAAAAAATGATAATACATTGATTGATCTTTCTTTAATTTTGATTTTTTGACCTTTTCAATATATTTTTTTTCTCATACTCACGCAACATTTTGCAGCCAAGAATCTGCATAAAACACTTGAATCCATCAGTTTTTGTAATAATTTTTTTGCTCTTAAATATTGGCCCATATTATAATATATCTGTGCTAGCCAGTATGCATCATTTGAATCACCTAATATTAATAAAGTACAAAAAGTTTGAAAACAATAATTAATAAAAAAAATTTTTAAAAGTTAAATTTACCTGTCATTGTTAAAACTTTATTTCCCCAAAAAGCAGCAGTCTCTAATAAGTTTTTTAGATAAGCGTCATGTCTCCATAATCTTAATTTATCTTCTAATTTTAAATTAGAAAAAGTAATACTGCTCGCATTACTATTCCTAGAATCACAATATGGTGATATGTCGAACATGGTTGATTGATCAATCCTGCACCAAAAGTATTAGCACTTGTTTATTTTGGAAAAGCTCTTTTTTATACAAAAATTTCCCAAAGATAAATAATAAGATTTAAAAAATCTTCTATTATCAATTTTCGTGTATATCATTGCTTATCTTAGCAAAACACGATAAAATCAGGTGATCTGCACATGAATATTATTCTCGTAAAGTAAATATATATAAATGTTTTTTATTATTATTATTATTATTATTTTGTGCAGGTTTACTTTGTTTATCTTATGGTATTTATATTTCTCTAAACATAAATATGAAAGATTCATCGGTTAGTTTTTACATATTCATGAACCAAAAAAAAAAAAAAAGATGCGCACATTCATTCTCAGTATAAAGGAGTAAGCATTTTTTTAAATAATAATGTTTTATAAAAATCAGAGAAAGAAAAAACCACCCAGAGTGATGTATATATTAATATATATATGTAGGTCAAATCTAAAAATAAACAATCTCTCCATATTATCAAAGGATTTGTTTGTGCTATCGCGTAACGTTGTTTTAATCGTTTCTTATTCCATATGATTTTAATTATCCAATTAATTGCTTTCATAAAGATAATTGCGGTAATTAATCAAAAGTATAGATTAGGGTAATGTTCTCAATAGAAGTCTCTCAGATATTTTGAATAATGATAATTTTAATTATCTAATTATCAAATGTTTTTGTGATGTCTCATTCAAGTATTTGATTAGTATGCTATCACTCTTCAGCTGTTTTGCATCTACTTTACTCACTTCTCGTTACGACTTGAAAATTGGTCAACCTTACCTTTAAAAGTTTGTTCTGCCTAATTGGGTATTTTATTTTTTTCTCCAAAAGAAAAAAATATATACAAAAAATATTTGTATTGATTGAAAAAAGTATATTGTAAATTAATTATGAATTTTGTAATGATTTAAGTGTAAAAAATAAAAATATTTTTTGGAATTATACATTTGTATAAAATAAACATTTTATAAAGTAACCATCTAATGTCAGTTTTTTATGTGGATAGTTTGTCAGCTTAATAAAGATTTAAAACTTGACTTTTAGTTGTGAGGTAGATGAAGGATCAATTGTAATCATATGTATAAAGAATTTACAAATAAAAATAGAGCAGAATATTCAGTAAATGTTGTATTGGGATTGAAGGATGTACCTTTGAAATTAGAAATACAAATATCTTTGATTTTTGATTGGAGAAATAAACCAAAAGATCCCACATTATATTGCAAAAATTTAATGAACCATATCAAATTGGAGTCTTGAGTGATCCTCTAATAATTACACAAAAAGTAATCTATTGATGTAAACATCAGAGAATGAATGGCAAACAAGAGATGTGTTATTTTTTTTATTTTATTGTAATCATACATTAGGTATCAAAAGATTTAATTACATGTGCAAGAATGTGTAGTAAACTAATGGACCTGGTGGCATTACATTATCCAAATCTAGATTTTAAAAGGAAAAAAACAATTAAGGGCAAAGAAAAACAATTTATGACCAGATTGGCAAATTGACTATTTAAATATAGAGGATCTTGATTGGTTGTGTTCAACGTGTAATACACATGGATACTAAAATAAAGATTTAATGACCTTAGCAATGTCAGATATCATGGATAGAAATATGCAGGTATATTTATTATAAATCTTTTATTGAGAAAGAATACATTAAATTTATATATTAACAATTATTATTTTCTAGTAGAAATATAAATCTTCATATGTATATTTGTTAGGACTAAGCAATAAGCACCAGTAAGAGTTTGAAACAAAAAATTGAGCTTTTCAGTAGCAGTGTATGAAGAGCGTTTGGCTTTTGCATTTCTTTGGAGAAAATGAATTAGAGCTGATAATAAATTTGTGACACAAAAATATCGATATAAGCACCACCCACGGTTTTGTTGACCAAAAAGTGGTGTTTATGTTCTAGACGATACAGCACTTTCTTAGTTCGTTAAATTCATAGTAGTAATAGGTCTGGCACAGCAAATTTTATGTATTTATCGAATTATGCCATTATCGAGAGCCGCCTCAATTTCATAATACAGCTAGAAAACAGGCAACAAAGTACTTAATTTTTCCTGTTTGGAATTCAAAATTCCGGTAAAAATTTGGAAGAGCCGGCCAAAAAATTATTTTATTGCAACCATTTAAAAAAAATTTTAATAATGGCAAAATACTTGTTTATGGATATAAATGGTCATAATGAAACTATTTATGTTCAGGTAACCATTTTTTATTAATTTTTATTTTTTTAAAAGTATTAATAAACCATTTATTTGTAAACTGCAAAAATAATAAATTTTTTATTTTAAACAAAGAAAGAAGGAATTGGAAGAATCGATATTTATAAAACATACCTTGAGCCTCTTTGATCTCGAGCTACTTTTACCAAATCCATATTCAAATAAACTCATTTTTATATAATTATAATCATTAAAATATTCCAAAAAAAGAACCTTTCTGTATATAGGATATTCCTAAAATAAAATAAAAGTTCCGTAATAGTAAGTAAATAATGATAATTTCGGCTACCATAATTCCATAAAAATTCAGGTATGATAATTAAGATTAATATTGACTGTTAATATATAAAGATTACAGATGTAAACCAAGTCTCTGGTTATTTTTATACCGCTCACTTATTTTCTTGCCAAGCTAATAATAAACCACAATTCAGTTAAACTGTTGGCTTTCTGAACTGCCTCAATAAATCTGAAATTTTAACAATCAGACACATTTGATCTTTGATGCACAAATATGCTTTGTAATAAATAATTATCTTTACGGAATTACGGTTTCCAAACTTTCTTACTATTACCGTAATTAGTTACTATTACGGATTTCTAGAACCGTAATTCTAATAATAATTGCGCGCCAATTTTTATTTATAGTTGCATTATTTTCGTTTTTTTTTCCGAAAATTTTCACATTTGCGCCCTGGATATTTTTTTCTATAAAAAGATAAGATCTTTGATAAACAATTTTTACTAATTATTATGGCTAAAAGCTCTTCGTAAATTCTACGTTTTTCAAGAAAAGATAAATTGTTTTTGTTCTTTTTTTTGTCAATTGAAATCTAATAATCATCTGTATTTCTACGCCTAATTTGAAAGATTTAATTCATTTTTTGCAATAGTTAATATTTAAGAGAGAAAATTGAATTTGACTATCTATATACAGTAATTATTATCCATATCTTAACCGTTACACAAGATACGGATTTAAAAGAGCGAGATTTTTCATATGATTATGATAGCATATAATAAAAGACTTTATCGATTGTCGAGATATTATTATTGTTGTTGTTGTTGTTGTTATGAAATTAACGAGTTTTAATATGCACATCTAAACTCGATAAGTCGGACGCAGCAATCAATTGTTTAAAGTACTTTATAAATAAATGTCCGACTTATCGAGTTTAGATGTGTAACCGGCGTTGGCTCCTGAAAAAATGATGAATTTAGACAATTATGAATTTATCGGATATGAATTTAACGAGCTTTGACTGCATATAGTGAATTTTCATCATGCAGCATATCGATCATTATATAATAAATAAAAAATTAAAAAAAAATCATCGCATAGGAATAAATTCCTTATATTCTAAAAATGTATAGATTACTATGAAAAGCCTTGATAAGAAGTCGTTATTATAATGAATTCATCATAGATGTCGTGCTATACAAACTCGTAAAGAGTTAATTGGTCAAGAATCGTTTTTGCAGTTGCCAAATATTTTGACAATGTTCAGACAGGATTTTAGTTATCTTGTAAATAACTACGCTATTTGATTTATTAATTTTGGCTGTTATCAAAAACTAATCTCGACATTTCATATTTGGCAATAGTTGATACCAGTATAATCTTGGCTAACATCTATGACTGCCAGCATTGATTGGTGCACGTTATTACACCAAAAAAATTGATTAATGTGTCCTATTTTCTTATTGGGTGTGTGCTACAGAACTGATCAATACTATTTTAAGGAGCTTTATAACCCTCATAAGGGCTCAGCAATTTATTGGTATGAGCAAAGTTACGCAAACGCGTAATATTTATATTAGGAAAATTAAAATTGAGTCCATAAATCTGCAATCACGTGATTTCCTTGTTGTAAACTTGTATATATTAATTAATATTTACCTGCAATTAGAAATTGTGGCTTTTATTGTAATTAAAAAAAAATAAAAGAAAAATGGAAAAAGTTGTAAAATTATTCAATACAAAAAAAACTCCAAAAAATGATAAACACAATATTTCTCCTGGTACAAATGACAGAAATGGTCCTACTAGCATGAACGATGATGATGTGTATTCAGATAAAAGGTATGAAACATTTAGAAAATGTTCAACTTGTAAGAGGTATAATACTAGGCCTTCATGGTGTCAATCATGCGACCCACAATTATTAACTCAAGGATGGTCTAGCGGTAACGAAGCTATTGATGAATTAATAAAAAGCACACAGCTTCGGGCAACATCACAATATAATAAAGATTATCTTCAATGGATTCCTTATGATGATTTAAAAGATATCGAAGAGATAGGTGAAGGTGGTTTTGCAACTATATACAAAGCTACTTGGATAAATGGTAAAAAATATGCAAATTATGAAGATGATATGGTTGTTGCATTAAAAAGATTACACAACTCCCAAAATATTTCAGATGGGTTTTTAAGCGAGGTAAAATTTTTCATCATCAATTTTTTTTTTTTAATTGAAAAAATTATCATTGCTAAATTCAATAATTTTTTTAAAGTTTAAAAATTATGTTAAATTTCATCGAATTGAACATATAATTCATGTTTATGGGGTATCACAAGATCCATCCACAAAAGAATATATATTTGTAATGCAATATATAAAAGAAGGAAATCTTTATGATTATTTATCAAAAGGATTTAAAAATTTAAAATGGAAAAATAAAATTCAAATCCTTTTAGGAATTATTGTTGGTTTAAGCGAA